TTGCTCACTCCAGAGTTATCCCCTCTGAAATACATCCCCCAGAGACTGGATAGGAACCAGCCCAGGGCAATTTCATGCAAGGGAACAGGTTGACAGTCCTGCAGGAGGTCTATCATAGAACTGAAATTCTATGCAGAGATTCAAAGCTGTCATAGAGGGATACATGGCTTCATTCTCTTGTAGGCAAATAAGGAACAGGATAGGGAATAGGACAGCTTCAGCTTTTCAGTCCTAGAAAAGCAATGGAAATGAGTAAATTTGCTATGAATATATTAATACAAGCTGTTGAGGATGTTTAACAATTTCTAAAATAAATAGCTGCTTTCTAATATTCTGTGCACAGGGTTGATCATAAGACCAATTGTGTCGTGTTCACTTTCCAAATTTCAAAAACCCCACAAAAGAATATAAGACCCTACAAGACACACTGCCCAAATTTTCCAGTATGACATCTAAATTCAAAAGATAGCAGTGAGAGCCTTTCAGAGAACTCTGCCACCTTTTTTCCATTTATATTTTGGCAGATTACTTGATGGTTTTACTGACTCACTTGTCTGACATGCAAGTAAGTCATAAGAGTGTCATTTTTAGTATAAATAGCTATTAGGGCTCATCTGACAAATGAGACTTGCCTAACGACATTTCATTTCCTGAAATGCAACAATGTGTAATAATAATAAGTTACACATGTCAGGACTGACTTGTAAACGACTTACTTCTGGGCTGCTGGAAGAAGTTACCTCTGACAACTTTGTCAATGGCTCTTCTCTAAAAGTTCCCAAGTCCTTGGACCTGCCAGTGACTTGGCTGTACAAAGAGCCCTGAACTCTGAATTGGGTTGGTATGAACAACTGAAAGTGGAAGACAAAACATCCCCTTATGCCTGTGAAAGAGGTTCTGTCTCAGGCTGCTCAAACCACAAAACCACCCAGTTTATTGTGTCTCTGGATTTGCTGGCAAGGATCTATTTGTTTAAGCAATTTCCATTCTACATCATTTGAAATGAATCATTGGGATAGCCCAGTTTGCAGGGACTGAAGTTGGTTAGAGAGTGCAACACAAGCATCTCCATCAGAAGATTGGTATCTTCTTCCATGAGCATCACTCTCTGCAGAACAATGTTTTTAACACCCTAACATAGCTGGTGGCCCACCCTGTTCACTTCTGACTTAAAATAGACCAGACATGAGCACATCTACCTGCATGGCTGAGGAGGGAACAGTCCCTTCGGTGGGTCAGTAAGAAGTAGCTTGGAGTGAACTGGGTGGTCACAAGAGAACAGAAGGTGTTCCATTATAATCTTGAAAACTTCGCATACTTACATATGGATCCACATTTACACACAAGTCATCAGAAATTAGCTTGAGAGTCAGCCAAACTGGACTGGTTCTTTACACCAAATTCTCATCTTTGCCCATATAAGATGTATAGCCCAGAGAGCAGGCAATATAAACACACTCACACTGACTCAGTGATGTGCCTAAGTCATAAGAGAAAAAACTCCCACAGCTTTCCAGGCCCTGATTTGGCCATAAAAATAATAGTAAGAACACAACAACCAACAGTGATGGATATACTTACTTGGAGTGGGATTGTGATTATTCCCTAAAACCATAAAATAGCCATCAGAAGTGAACAAATCGCTTTCTTGTACAAAACGTGAAAAATGGATCTAGCAGGGAAAAAGACTTAACATGTCTGCTACAACTGCTGTTCAGTTTTAAGTCTAAGTGGTGAAAGGAGGGCAGAAGTATGTAAGAAAATCTGCAACACTATAATGACTTCACTCACATAATTTGTTTGTGTTTACTTCTACTGCCAATGTCTAATCCATTTTTCCTCAGGAGAAAGATTGGGATACATTCCAGGCACCAAATAAACAAGCCAAACTTCATTCTTTCTGAAATAAGGAACTTCTTTTATCATATTCTCTCCTATTCATCTCCTTTCTGATGCACACAGTCCAAAAGGATATGGGAGAATATTAGACTAGAACTCTGTGATCTGCACTGGATGCCAGTCAGCTGCTGGTAGGATTCCAAGATTTTTGATCCAACCTGTAAAGTCCTGAACAGTTGTGGCCCTGGCAAATGGGGGGAGGTCACTCCTCATTCAGAGATGTGGAGGTCCATCTAGATAAATAACACAAGGCATGCCCAACGAAGAGTCCTTTATTTCGAAAATAATTTCCCCTACTTCTCTAACCTCTGGGCATGCTGTGAAGCCTGCTTTCCCCTCTCTGTGTTAAATCAGAGTGCGGATTGAAGCTTTTCTGTATATCGACTATCCTCTATTCTTGCTGTCATGTTTCCATTTATCAAGTAAATACCAGAAGTATTAAATAGGTAAATTTTTAAAACTAAACAATTTTGTAAAATATTTTGAGTTCTTAATAGCTTTTCCATTTGTTTTATCATTCTTGAGCCATTCTTTTTGAGACTCTTTAATACCTTTCCTAAGATGCAGTAACAACAATACATATAAATATTCCAAAGGAGGCTTTTACACTGACCTATTTGTATATGTTTTTTCTTCATATTCTCCATCCCATTCCATAAGTACTCTAGCAACTTCTTTGTTTGCTTGTTTGTTTGTCTGGTTTTACTACAGCTGCAGTCTGACAGTGGTTTTCTTTGTGCTGTCCATAGTGATGTCCTCACATCTTTGGTGTACTGACAGAGGTAAATCAGAACCCTATTTTCAAGTAGATTGCATGTTTCCCCTGTATTTATTATCATTGAACTCTATTTGGAATAATTTTGCCTGTTCACCTAAATCCCTCTATAAATCTCTATATTCAACTTGAACTTGTTCAACTTGAACAACTTTGTCCCATTTGCATACTTTGCACTCGTTTCTTTCTCCAGAGTTGCATTAACTATCAGTGAAACCAGTATAGCCTTTTTAGGCAATATACAGTTTCTACTTTTCCCCAGAGCCAAAAATATCCAGTTCAATGAACCAAGTAACACACTTGCTGGTGCTTGCCCAGCCATGGGTAAAATAACCCCAGAGTATAAAAGTCCAGCTCCACAGAGTTTCTGTCTGGTGAAGCTCAGCAATGGTGTGCTGATGTGCCCCCACAATGTTCTTTCTGATAAATAGTTTAGAGATTTCCATACTAAGGACAGCTTACTGGAGGAATGTGTATGGCAAGTTGGAAGGGATGAAAAATCTTCCTTTCCTTCTCATTAGTATGATGTGTTTTTATCACTGTACACAGTTTTGATATTGAGGATATTCAGGGGTAGGTCCACAGCTCGTCCATTAATAGTTGTGACTCCTGTGCCTGCAGTAATTAATTAAGGATCTCACTGGACTAAGTAGTGGTATTGCTTAGATAAAAAAGTACTGGTTTTCTCCTACTTGTCATCATTCCTTACTTCCAGAATGCAGAAGTTACATAAAAGACCCTGCCTACAACTTTGCCATGAACTTCTTAGAGTTATATAGTTTTCCTGAGTCTTTAGCCTGTGTAACATGTCAGCAACTGTCTTAAGAAAAAAATGTTTAGGGTTTAGATCACTGTCTTATATGCTGAGAGATTTCTGGAATTTTTTTTTTTAGAGACCAAAATTACATACAAATTTTCAAATGATTTTTCACCTGGGGAAAATGAGAATCACTGAAAATAGTTACTTTTGCCTGAAATTGTTTAAGTACTGTCTTTCATTTAATAGCAGCAATTTTTTGTCCTTTGGGAATTTTACCACTAAAAATACAGAAATGCCAATGCTCACTTAAGTGACTGATAACTGTCACAAAATCCAATAACACGCTAAAGTTTGGGAACTTGGAAACAGTATTTTGACAAAACAAAACTTCAGCACCATTGAACACTGACAATAGATTAGATATACTCCTGGGAATATATCTACCTTTTCCTGGATGGTCCCAGCTTCAGGGACATGAGACATTCATGCCATGATTTGATCCCTTTGTCAACTATGAAGCCTGTCTACCTGTTCCTGAGGCATGCTGTGAAGACTCTAATTTTGGAACAGACTGGACAGTTAGGATGTAAGTGCTTGGCCCAGTGCGTGGCATATAGCCAGTTCAGTGCAAGACTGGAATGAGATAGGTTGAGTTTGGGAAGCCCTTATCAGCCACAGCAGAGTGGCGCTGTGTCAGGGCCATACTGCTTCTGGCACGTAGCTGCACCTATGTGGACATATGTTCTCAAAATTTTGAATTCCACTGATAGTAGTTGGGACCTCTGGAGTGCTTGTGAAGGCTGACTGTAGCCTCGTGAAACTATGATCAACAGAGGGAAGTGGTTTCCACCACAGGACACCTCTACATTACTCTTTTAAATTGGTTCATGGAGGGGGCTGTGTCAGGTCATCACACCTTGCAACATTATCTGTAATGCGAGGCAAAGTTCAACTTAGTGCTAAGCCACCTGAGCTGCCCAAGTCCCCTGAACTACCTCAAACACATTGAGGGACAGCATCAGTTCCCTGGTGGGCTCTCTCAACAAACTCCATACCACACGTGCGTTATCACATCTAAGTGCACCTAAAGCTGTACCTATTTGAATGTGCCTATTGTCTGTTCAGGCATAGGTTGATACCTAAGACAGATACATGATTTCCATGAGAAGTTCAACTTGCTGAGCTTCTTAAACAGTGGAGAATAACAGAGTCAGCGGGAGCACTGACACTACTGCAGCACTGTGCCCTCAACCTGCAAGCTTATTTAGGGCTCAGCACGCCACTACAGGCCAAGAAAACAGGAACCACAGCGATGTAATTCAGAAGGAAAGAAGAGGAAATTGCTTCAAATCTGTGAAATATATAATCTGAGACTAATGAAGATTTGTGTGCTTGCAACATTAGCTGTAAAAAATTAATTCTTGGGGTGACAGCAGCATATTTCACTATATGTCATGGTGCTTGAATTGTGGCCAGTTTTTCAGTTATATTCTTAGTCAAGGAGGAAAAACTTGCTTGACAACTGTCATTCATACTTCTCAGAAAGTGTTATGCTGTTGTCCTTACCCGGCAGAGCCACTGGCGAGCCATCCCGTGGTGCAGCCAGCAAAAGAACAGTCCAGAACAGCCCTTTTCAGTTCTTCTGCAGTTGCTAAGCGAGCGCTCAGGTCAACACAAGCTTTCTCAGCTTCAGCTAAATCCAGACCCTGAGAGTTGTTCTTGGACTCAAGTGCAAACACTTTCCCTGCAACACCAAGAAAGGACATGCCATTCATCATGGAATTATGCTCAATACATATTCAACAGAAATATTGCAAATTATCACCGAATAAAGTCTCCATGCTTTTACTGAGTTTATTTTAATGGGCAACCTACCTTTTGAAATGGGTAATTTTATCAAGACTGTAAGTATCTTTGTGTTAGCTTTTCTTTTAATTTTGTTCAACAACAGAAAACCAAGTGTGGCTAAGCCCCTACTGATTCCTAGCTCATAGGAGAAGCTTGTCTTGCTCTGTAGGTGTGTGCTTAAGATCTGGAGAAAGAAAGCATGACACTCTCTCATATGCACATATATAGTCAAAGTCAGAACATCTCTTGTAGGCTACTAACACTGGAATTCATTGCTAAACATTTTACAGTTACTTTATAACATCTACACCTATAAAGTAAACACATTCTTAAAAGCTAGTATTGCAACCCAGTCTCCCATGTAGAAATAGATTTATATTTATACTTTCTCTAAAATCAACATTATATCAGTATATGACAACTTGAGTCTAAATACAAACTACTTTTTTATTGTCTTTTTAGAAAGACAGAAAAAAATTTTTCTTAATGGAAGGCCTTTTTTTTTTTGAATTAGGATGAGAACATGTTTAACATAACAATTTTTTGGTGTTATCTATATGTTCAGTTTGGTTTATTTTACTTTTATTTATCTAACACCATGAAAGCTGTATGGGTGAAAGTTAGAGGCTTTGGTAACTGGGAACAAGTGTTTTTGGCAATGACACTCGAGTAGTTACTGGGTTATGGAATAAATGTATTAGCTGGGTGTCTCCAGAAAAAGAAATAAACAATGAGGCAGTTTACAGTGCTGACATTAGAGTTGCCATACCTATCTTCTTTCTGATGATATATAAGTTAGAATAACTTCTAAATTGCAAAGATACGGATTGAATTTGCTTGTAGGTGCAGGAAGAAAATTTTTAAGCACTGTTCATTCAGTAAATGCCTGGAAACACTTACTTATGTCTCATTTCCAAAGTGGATTAGCGGTAGTGATTATAGGAATTCATAGCTTCCAGCACACACTGAGTGTTCACTATGTAGTTACCTTCACTCTCACAGGATGTATTGACCAATATTAGGAATCCTTCAGACTGATTCTGCCTGATTCTGTACCAAGTGCCACCCCCACCATATATTATTTTGATAAATTGATAAATCTAACTCTAATCCTAAATACAGGGAATTTACACAGGGTAGGTCTGTCCCTGAGAGCTTTCTGTTCTCACATGTGCACAGCTGAACCCACTAGAAGAATAATAGTCTTACATCAAAAAAATGTAAGGTTTCTCTCAAGTAAACATGGTTTTTGTGTTTACATTAGTTAGCAAGTGCAGATGGGTACTGATGAAAATTCCTACTTTGATGGGAATTCTACATGAGCACAGTAAGAAATCATTCCGACTTGGACAGATGGCAATTTAAATAAGCAGGGCAAACAGCTATGAGAAGGAATAGAAATTCAGAGTTCCCAGAGTGATTTTCTCAAGCAGTTAACAGTAGTTGACCAAGGAATACAACCAGAAGCCCAGATCAGTATCCTAACCAGTAGATTACATTGTCTCTCGATTCTCAACTGCAATCAATATCATGAACTGTAATCAGAATAGGGGAATTTACACAAAGTAGTGAAAGAAGCAAGCCTCTACATTCCTAAGTACACAAACATCAGATTTCTTTGCAAAATATCTCAAATAATGCCCATGACACTAATGTCACAGCTCCTGTTTCTAAAGCCATGAACAGACTAGTGAAGTATGCATGGCTGAGGGAGAGAGATAGTATAAGCAGAAAGATGATCGTTTTAAACAACCATTCCGAAGTCGCAAAACAGCTTTGTTCCTAAAGGAAATCAGAGATCAAATGTAATGCTTTGCCGAGGCTTTGTCCCATATAAAAAATTCTACATTCTAAAAACATCCACATTCTACATTTCACCACTTGACCGTCAGGATTGAGATGTGTCATCAAAGACATACAGGGTAAATTTGCATAGTATCTGATGTAAATCATCAATGTTAGTTTGACATGGCAGTAACCTTTATTTTCCAGCTATTAGTATTTCAATTAGAAGACTTAAAGAAAGGAAAATGATTAAGCAGGTAGTTCCATTCAGGTACAATCAGAAGAAACTGAGTTAATAATTTAGTCTTTTAACCAATAAGCAACAATTACATTTTTAGAGGAGTTTAGATATCCAAGACAGAGGCTGAGACAGCTTTCCCTAACTGCTTTTATGTGTTGTCTAGTGCTTACTACTAGCAAACTACTTCTTAAGAGAACCTATGAAGACGCTGATTCAAAACAGAGTCTTGTAATTTCTAAAACTATCTGGGATGTTCAAATTATATACACAAGTGGATTTTAGGGTAAGCTAGGAAAGATGTACTGGTTGGGAAAATTACAGTGAGCTGCTTTATAGGAAATTCTGGTTAGCCAGAAGTGGATCTGCTTAACAGATCAAACTGTAAATCTTCTCCAAAGTTTTAGAAGCTCTATGGCCATCTGCCCAGTTTTAAAGATTTGTCCTCTGGTTTTGTCTAATTTCTCACCTAGAAAATATCATGGGATGTAAGGTTCACTTATCAGATGCTTGACCAATGGAATAGCTGGATCCTCAATATCCTGAGATGTGTCACACTACTGAGGGGCACTTACAGGAAAAATATACAGGAGACATGTTAGCATGGTAATAGGAAAAATACAAAAGTGCATCAAAACAGGAAGTCCTCTTAAATAAAAAAGACTGCAACACTAAATTGAATTCTGCACCTTATAGTGTCATGGCTATCATGTGGTATCATCTTCAGTCTAAGGGAATCTAAGGATTCTGGTTAATTATTTGTAACATTTTTATCGCTGCTAGTTTTAATGAAAAGTTTTTTAGAAAAGGTTTGTCTCACATACATGATGAAATTACAGTAATTTTTTCCATTGGGGTAGTTGAAATCAGTTTTCTCTCTGGGATAGTATCAAGAGAGGTGTTGTCATTCTGTTTTAAATATGAGACTGCTCTATATTTTCATAAGACAGGGGATCAAGGATCATATCTACATGAAGAATGTAGTATGCCTTTGGTTGTGGCACCTCTGAACAGCCACCACGTCTGAGTTTCCTCTCAACTCTCCTCTTTCATTTTTGACCCATAATCTTTGTTTCCCATAATGTTTTTATCTCCACTGGTAGAGGGGTAGAAAGTTGTTACAAAAACTCTATGTACTTTTCTGAAGCCTTTCTAAACAAAGCAAGTCCCTATGGTTTAAAGATCAAGATAAAATCCACAAAGTAGTTTTTATCAGGAGGCTGAATGAACATGTTGAGTTTAGCGTGTTCAGAATGAAAAATATCCTTGTCACAGTAAGGTTTTTTCAGATTCCCATTTGAAACCAGTGAAAAAGTTTTTAACATCAATGATAAGACATAAATAATAAGACATAATTCTTCCAACTGCTAGTTATCAGCTGGATTCATAGTTCTGATGGAAAACTCACATTTGAAATCAAAGAGAGTCTCTCTTTAGTGGCTAGCCTGTATTATATTGCTAGCCTCCACCATTATCTGATCATTATTATTATAGAATTTGAATATATTTTGATATATTGATAATATTTTAATTAATTTTTGCACTTAAACTTGGTAAATAAGAAATAGATTAATATAGTTTTTACTTAAGAGTAGCCCAATATATTCTGACTGAAAATATAGATCTCAGGGCTTTTAGGAAGCGTTTTTATCACCTTGTTAAATTCCTGCATAACTAGACTGCAGATTTCCCCCAATAATTCCACCATCAAGTCCAAAAATTCATGGTTGAACTAGAGCATGTCTTTTCAACATGCATCTAGTCATGATTCAATGCCTCCAAGTAATGGAGAATTTACAGCACACTTTATAGTAAACTGTTCCAATGGTTCATTACTCTCACTCCACCTTATTTCCAGCTCCAAATTTTGCTAAACTCAGCTTCTAACAACTGATCCTTATTATTTTTTCAAGATTAAAGAGCCATCTGCAATCAAATGTATAGAAGTCTAAAAACAAAACCCTTCAAAATTAAAACCAGCCCAAAACCTTCATATTTTGTGGAATGTCAGTGGATTTAGCAGAATTCTCTTGGTTATCAACAAGAGAGTTTGTGTAATTTATTCTATTACAGTAACGGACACAACAAGTTCTTTTGAGGTGCACAGGCATGGCTTAAAGCCCACTGAAATGAATTCAAATTTCTCCCTGTGTTCAGCAGGATTTGCATTATGCTTGAAGAAGGAACATAAAATTGCATAGCCAAATATACTCTGGAGTAAGAATGTCTCTTACAAATAATATAATATGAAAACACTTTAAAAGGTGTGCCCAGTGTGCTAATCTCATGGCATGACACTTCCTAGTTAAAAAGATAAAAAGGAATCAGTTTCAACAAAATAAATGGGGTGAAAGATGTGCAAATGTGGAGTCTAATACATTTTTACTTGAATGTTAAAAACTTCAAATTAGGTAAAGAGAGCAGAGGAAGGGAAGGACACTTCTGTACCTCAAGAACAATTTAATTTCCATTTCTATGGGTGTGTGTAACAATGGCCTTGATTGTAACAGTAAGGGTGAAGGATTCAGTACAGAGATTTGGTTAGCTGCTGCTTTTACTTAGTGTTCATGACTGTGGAGTTTATTTCTGTGAGAAACTAAAGTGAATGATGTCTTCTTAAATTCAAAAAATGTTACATCATCAAAAAAATAGCAAAATCAAGAGGCCACCTTTGTGTTCCTCCTCAGCTAAACTCAGTTGGAGCCTAAGTTTTGATTTTACTACACATTTTAGAATCAAATAGTTGGAATTTTTATGGAAGAATCTGTGTTGTTTTGAAAGCAGAAGCCTGAAATGCTTAGACACCTGCTACTCAAACGTGAGCACCTAGAGAGAGCAGAAGAGAAAAAACATGCTTTTTCCCCCTTTGCTTGAAAAAAGGATGCAAAACAAGACAAAGGAAGGACTATAGTAGCATATTTTCTTTCCTGCTTTGGACATCAACAGTTTCTAGTCAGCAGTATGTATCTCAGATCCTCACCTGTTTGTTCCTAGCTTTCTGCATTCCGGATCCTTTCCCTTGCAACCTCTGCAGTCACTATAGTGTGAACACTACCAGATGACTGACTTGACCAATAGGGTTTTCATGCAATCCAAATTTAGCCAACAGATCAACTCCACTTTGGAACAACTAATAAAGTTCTGAAATTAGCACATTTTTTCAATTCAGGAGTGTCTTGGTAGGCTAGATGAATTGCCATCATCCTCTCCTGGCATTCTCTGTCCCAGAGCAAGTACTCTTCAGAAAACTATGGTTCATATGTGTGCATACTTTAGCAGCCATAAAAAGACAAAATAGGGAGGAAAAAAAAGCAGAGGCAACTCCTGTGCAGGACACAGGAAGTCACATCCTTGTTCTCCTAGTCTAGCACAAATTTGAAGAAATGTTAACCCCCTTGAACCATTGAGAACTGCCACAATAACCCATATTATTCTCCAGTAACTGCACTAACAGTAGTGGCACTCCATGGTCCATCAGGGTAGGAACAAGCCCTCAGGAAGCCTTCTGTCCATCTGACCTGGACCTGAACAGCTATGAGCAAGCCCATTTCAATTGTAAAAAAAAGCTACAAAGTGAAGCAAAGCTATATTTTATGTCGGCATTTATTTCAGCCTTTCTGGAGCCTATCTGTGCTACAGCAATGTGTGCCATGGTAAATAGTGGTCAAAAGAGATCAATTAAGCTTTGGGGCTTTACACCTCCACCAGACCTCAATGGCCCCTAGTTTTATTGCCTGCTCTCTGTCATTATTTGTGTGTGAGATAATAAAGCAAAAGTCTTCCTTGGGGAAACATATTGTAATCAGTTTCAGAGGTTTGAATATAACAGGAGCCAGTCTGAATTTCACAGTTTTTTTACAAGGCAAATTCAAAATCCCTTCAGTGGTTTGCAAAACATTCACGTACCTTTAGTTAAAAATAAGAAATACACAAACGGATATGTGTCACCCACACATACAGTCCTTTGGCACTTAAGTGACATTTGTGTGTATTAGAGACTAGCACAATTGCATTTTCACCTACAACTTAACAAATGAGAAAGTGGTTTCTGTCTGTGTCAGGCCAGAATCCGTTATAAAAGAAAGTAATAATCCTGTTTCATCCTCTCAGATCTTCTTAAATACATAGGCGTAAATTTTAAAGTCCACATACATTGTTTTCTTCTGTTTTACTGTATAATAACCCAGATGGCTTATAGGACAGCGTTACAGTTATTTGCTTGAATGTTAATACCAGGAAAACTCACTGAAGATCAAGTTAAGAACAGACTTACATATTTGTCACAATGCTACTCGGAATTTAAATAAAAATAGAAACGACAGTATTATAATAATGCATGACAGCTGTAATGTACTTTAGATATTCTACCCTTTAATTCTTAAAAATGCTTTACCAATGTGTGAAGTAAATTTGACAAACTGTTGAATGATCATTAAAATCTGTCGTGAACTCTGCCTTAAAATGATCTCCAACATTTTTTCTCCTTTCTGTTTTAGAGGACACCTGTTTTTCTTTTAGATGATGATATTTGTTCTACAATAATAATAAATTGAAGGGTGCTCCTGAAAAAACAAGGGGATTTTTCAGGTGAAGCACTGTTAGCAACAGAAATTATTTTTCCTGTCCTCTCTCCTTAAGTTCTACAGAGAACTCTTATTCATGGGTATGCTTTTCCCCTCTTCCTTCATTTCAAAGGTATTTTGCTAGGGAAGGAGTATATCCTAAAACAGAATTGCAGTTTTGCCTATTGCAATGCAGTGCAGTTTCTCGATGTATTTCTCTTTTTTTTTATGCTTAATGAAAAGTAATTTTCTTCAAACTTACAAGACAGAGTTCTGTTGTATAAATGGTACTTTACACAAAACGGTGGAAAGTACAGGCAAGATTAATTTTCTCCCTTTCCTTTGCCATACTTTGTCATCAGCTGAAATAAATTTAAGTTAAACAGGAAAAATACTCTGAGAAAAACAAAAAGAGGTTTTTGTTGCCTTACAATGTTTAAGATCTGTTCTCTGGAATAATGCAGCAAACATCAATGGTAAAGGATTAGTGTATTGAAATAAAAGAATCCTGAGATCAGGCATAAATCTATCACAGCTGTGAAAGTGGAAAAATGTGACCACTCAGCATTGCTCTCCCAGGAAAAGACACAGTGGTTTTAAAAATAAATCGTGTTTTTGCTAAGGCAAGGTGGTCATCATTATCACAGGCTGAATCATCAAAAGGGCAAAGGCTACTGGAAACTTTCAAGGGATGCAGCTATTCAGGATTACCATCAGTGAGTAAAAAGTCCCATTTCAGAGTAACCGGCACCTGGTGCTTCAGCCAAATTCATGTCCTGAGCACATCCCTCAGCAGTGAAGTGCAGATGAAACTCATGTGCAGAAAGGCAAGCAGTCATCTTCAGTGTGTGTGGCACTGAACAGAAAATGTTTTGAAAGTTTTTCATTTTTTGTTTTCCCCTCCTCAAGAGCCTGCCCCAATAAATTGACATTGTGGGGCATCTGAAGTGGGCAGATGAGGAAGTTCTTTGGAGAAAAGATGTCTCCTAAAACATAGATGAGTCTTCTTAGTCGTGTTCTGACTTTGTTTTATTATTCTTATTTCCTCTGGAAAAGTTCACTATCCTGTCATTTTGTTGTAATAAAATAATTTCACCCTTCTGAGATCTTATTTCCTTTCTCTGCTTAATCCCAGGATTTTTGTAGAGTCTCGAAAACCTCTGAATCAGAAGTTTCCTAACCCAAACTGGGGAGTGCATTTAAGCTTCTTATTAAAAAAAAAAAAAAAGTTTTTGGTTTGTTGGGGTTTTTTTTCAATAACACATTTCAACATACAGCTTTCATTCCAGCCATAGCAACCCAGCCCAAACTGAATGGGAGACTCACCATCAGCCTGAACAGAGATGATCTGAAGAATGAAGAAGACAGATCCTACACCCTGGAGAAAGGTGAGAGAGGATCTCTGAGAGCCTAGAGCCATTGCCCTGTTTGCAAAGCCCTCAGCCGCAGGCGGTTGGCTGCCGAGGCGTTTTCTCTCTCCTCCTCTGCACTTTCGCAGCGGGGTCTGCGGTGATGATTTCAAGGAGCACTTTCCCTCGGCAGGATCCTGCGTCTTGGGCTTGCACTGAAGGCGGGAGGGGTGGAAAAAGAAAGAGGGAGGGAGAGAGGATTCCTTGGCTTGGCTAGTGTGAAGGGGAGGGGAAGGTGGGGGGGAGATGTCCAGCCAGCTGGGGCTGGGGAGAGGCTTTATCCAGTCCCGACTGCAGGGCAGTGCACACGGAGAGCCGGTGTGAAAAGTCACATTATCCTGCCGGTAAATACCTAATGGATCACGGTGGAAGAAATGTAAAAGCCAGGAGAGAGAGAAAAGGGGGGAGGAACGACAAGCGACGAGGAGAAGAAACCCCTGGATGAGAGGAGAAGGGCAGCTAGGTAGCTGGCACTGGCACGTGGTGAGTTTGTGGGCTTAGCTGTGCATCTCCAGAGGGACGCGTGCAGACGCGGGGAGTGTTTTCTTCTCTCCAACGTGAAATCAGCCAGCAGTGCCTTGCTGAGGTCAGTGGCTGCTGCAGAGAGAGTGATGGTCTTCAGGTAAAGGCTGAGGAAAAGTGCCAAATGGCGTGGAACCCTGCCGGCCAAGCCTCCCTGAAGATCAGCATCAGGATGAGTTAATCCTGCTATTTCAGATTCCAGCTTCGGGACAGGTATGAGGAACTGAAGGTTGAAGCAGGGATCTGTCAGCTAGTCTTCTCCAGCACTCTTGGTCCAGATGAATGGTGCTGGTCAGCTTGGAACACTCTGAAAGCAGCTGATGAAGGGAATTTCCAGTTCCCACTAGCACTTACAGCACTGACATCTGTCCCTTATTCTCATTTGACTTATATCTGTCCCAACACAAGTCAAAAGAATTCCCCACAATAAGAGGAAACATACTGGTGTTGATGCCAGGATTTATTTCGCTAAATATATAAACGGAATAGTTTTGTGTTGCTGTTGGAACTCAGCAGGGCTCAGAAATGTTGTTTTCATATTCCCATCCTATTTTGCTTTTATTTCAGCTTCTTAAAATTTTTCCCTTAGAAATTTGAAGCTGGGCAAAAATGCTCAGTCTGTCTAGAGACTGAGCCACCAGGAACAGAGGCTGTGGTGTCCTACAAGGCAAGGTGCTGGCAGGCAGTTGTAGGCATCTTCTGAAAATTATGAATCTGCTTAATGTTGTTTTCCGTCTGACTGAGATGACTCAAGCTCAGGAACTCCTGTATATGATATTCAAGGAACCAAGTAACACCATAGTACTGGAAGCTTTAAAAATACCTACATTTGATGAATTTGAGCAGATAACACTGATCTGTTGACTTTTAAAGAAGTCTTCCTCCTTTTTGTGCCCATATCTAGCATGTGAATGTACACGCTGAAAACTTGCTTTGAATTTTCTGTTTATCCTGACAATAGGGATGGCAGCAGCTTATTATTGCATTGCCTTACCAGCCTAACTTGTAAGGAATACCTCCAAAATTAGAAGGATGGGAAGTTTCTTCCTCACTTAATCTTTAACATAGGATGGTTGGCATAACAGAACCACAAAACTGCATTTCATTTCAATGGAAACTCTATGCTCTGTACAACAGGTATTAACACACAAAGCGACAGAAAGGGAAACAGAAAATTGTGACATTTGTTGAGTTTATGTTTCTTTTACATGGTATAGCTAATGGCATAAAATGCAGTTTTAACCCTCTGATGCTCCAATAGTTCTACCTACTCCTATTCTAAAAATTAGAGGACACAAAAATATGAGAATGTGTTGAATCTATACACTTCTAGTGAGCCAGCAAAGAGATTCCACGAAACTGAGTAAGCAATTACAGCAAGACACACAAACATTAACAGAAACCTAACATGACCACAGCAATTGCTCCAGATTTCCCTGACACTTGTCATAGGGATGATGACTTTGTTGGCCCTTTACTGTTCTCATGAGTTTGACCAAAGCAGTTGGAGGAGAGGACAGTATCTTCCGGTTTTCCATCTGAAATTCCAAAGGTCTGTTGGATTAGTTTTGCTATAATTGGCTCATTTCCTTTTGTTGATATATGTAAAGGCATGTTGCCACTCTGGCTCCTGTCTTGGAAAATCTCAGCTTGTGTTCTTGAGTAGAACATCTTACTGATTTTAAAGAATTACAAAAGACTATAATATCTGTTCCTTTTTGAAAGCATAAACAATTCATAGAATGACCTGGTTTCTTCTTGCCATCCCATCTCAACTGTAAAGAAAGTCTGTAAATATGGAGAGGTAAGGACACTTACCAGTTATTAATTCCTGGAAGGTTAGTACTTCACTGCCAAACAGTTATGCTTCCAGTCTAATATTTCTATCGGCAAAAATTCCTGCTCCTAGTGTATTTTGGAAGATGTACATAAAACTGAGCAGAGTAGGTTTAATACTTAAATGATATGCATTGTTTTGGATTGAAATCGACATTAATCAAGAAAAAAATCCCACTTTTAAAACCAAATCCTTCTTCTTGAAACCAAAAACTCAAAACAAATCTGGAAGTTAAGACGGTTAGAAACGAATACAACCTCTTGCTCAGAAACAGGTATAAGCTTTTGCTCAAAACCTCTGGCATTCATAGCACCGCAGTAACACACCAGTCAGACTATTCAGTGTATGAAATACAATGTATTATTACAGATTACAAAAGATCAATTGTATGTGCGGCTTTACATAAATCATAAATCATGCCTTCCTTGGGATCAGTGAAGGTGCCAACTGGGATATTTTATAAAACAGTGCTTCCCTATGTGTGAGCTTTTATTTAGGGAGAAAAGCATGTGAAAGCACTGTGTTATAAAGTATGTAGATATACACATGAATGTACACACACAAAACACTTGTGTGCTGTGAAGCACACAATAATGGTTTGGACATCTAGTACCTGACACATTTTCATCTGGAATAATGTCATTCAAGTTAGAGTGGCTTTTTAATACTAAATAAAATATCTGAAAGAAATACAAGTGAACAAAGACACATTTGAAAACAGGAAAATGTGTATTTACAATAGAGATTATTGTATTTCATCTCTTCATATCTACTACCAGGAATATTTACTTTCTGTCATTGAAAATTTATGTACTATAAAGATTATAGATGTAAAGGCTCCAATTCTGCAAAGTCTAACACACACTCTTAAGCTTTTCCAAAATACGGACCTAGGATCCTAAGGTCTTGAGCAAAGAGACATTCAGAAACATTTGCTATCTCAAGCCAAACTGGGCAGATGTTGGCAGATTTGTTAAAGTGCTGCAGCTGGCAAAGAACTGATCTTTAAAGAATGATGGAAAGAAATAGGAAAGGTCACTTTTCATATCAGAATAAAGCACAATAGAAATAAAGTTTCTGTTCAGAAAAAGATACCTCTCTTTTCTATCACTAAAGCATAAGATTCTGTTCAACATGTTTCTCTGCAAAATGCAATAGCTTTATAGATGTTGACAGTCTGCATAATTTAGCTTGAAGAACTGAATTTAAATGGAATATAAGCTTTAGGTTTACTTATCATCCTAATTATTTTTTTTTTAAGAAAGAGATCCACATTAATATATGAGTGAGGTGGTGACTAAACTGCTCTAATCCGCATGATTATTAGAATTTATAATACAACCTGGAATTTCTGAAGTACTGTCTCAAGACGAAGTTGAAAGGGGATAAATACAGAAATAAGTGAGGCATACAGCTTGCTACGTGCCTTACACTGAGCTACAGTGTCTACATAAAATGATGGCATTACCGAATAACTCCGTAACTATTTGTGGTGATCCATGTCCAGGTGTGAGTTATCATATCCAAACATTCAGATATCAGTTGATATATATAAATGCCATGAAATAACTGATTTCTACAGGTCAGACATGCTGGCAACAGCTGTCCATAGAATGGTGAGAGCAGTGAAAACCAAAAGGACTTGGGTTGTGCAGCTTTGTAACACATCAACTTGAAAGTCTGCACAACCTCTTCAGTCTCTCTCTCCACATATAAATGGAGATAACCAACTTCACACACCATTCTGATATGCTTTTAGTAAATCAACAGAAGTTTCTTCATAGATACTTTTGTAGTATCATATCATCATCATGACAGACGGTTGCTTTCCTGAAGTCTATGACTTGTGCTTCTGCTAGAAACAAGAAAAAGAATTATGGCTTGGCTTCCCAAGGACCTGTAAAGGGATCTTAAATACCTGATAGATGATATAGCATTACATACAAGCACTGCAATGACTGACATCTCCTAAAGGATATGGAGACTGTGTGACCGAAAGGCAGGCAGGAAACCTTGGTAGTACTGTACACCTATTGTATGCACGGATAGTACACCTACTGTATACTGGGATCCAAACTTATTCTGCAGCTGTATCCAAGCTTCTAACCCCCAAAAAACCAACTGGAAAAGTGAGAGAAAAAAAGAGGGAGAGAAAGATTTCTTTGTTTGTAAAATGTGAATTATTAAGCAACAGTAACACAGACAAACATTTTTCAGTGTCTGGCAGTCTGCAACAGTCTACTAGCTGCAGGGAACTTTTTATTTTATTTATTCAGAGTATTTGCACCTAATTAAATGAAAAAGTAGAAATGTGCAGAACTACCTGAAAGTAATTCAGGGAGCTGACAAAAAAATAAAAATAAATTTAAAAAAAGTAAAAGGCATATACCCCACTTTGTGGGTGGTGGGTTGCACACAGGGATCTGTGTCATGGTGCTGCTGACCCTGAGAAAGATTGTGATTCTTACGCTTACATCATGTTATGTGGGGTCAGGTGTTGTCATGTGACAGGCCATGACCTTCATATAAATCATTGCCACGTAAACTGTAAAAATCACACTTCATTTCTTGGAGACTGAGCAGTCTCAAGAAAAGAATGAAGGTATCTGGCCACAAAACAGCAACCACAATATTAGTGATATAAAAATAATTAATTTTTTCCTCTTT